TAAACAACTGAAATTTCACAGGAATATTTGCCATTACCCAAAATATCATTACTGTATGATAATATAATGTACTAAACAAGGTATCAGGAAATATATATATTTACTGTAAATGAAAATTTCGTTTGTGATTTTTTTTTATTTTGATAACGTAATCGAAGTATAGTAGAAAAATAACACTAAGTAACACGGATTTTATATAATGAAAGACATCGAGAAAAAACATACAGAAGAACAATTAATGAATATAAAGAAAAGTTTTAAGCAATAATTCTTCCGGCACAAACTGCCCTACATGTGGCACATCCGGCGTAAGGTAAGCTGAGCTGCTCGCTGACCACAGGTTCGTATCCCCCTGCGGAAAGGCGGGCGGAAGTGGGTGCGACACGCGCGGGTCGCCAGCTGCTACACGACCACTTCTACCTTGGCTCCACTCGCACTCCTTAGGTGATATTGTTGACGCTCGGTTTACTTCAGATAGAGAAAACGAATGAAGGGAGAATCTCTGTTGCTCCTTTTAACCGTTTTGCAATATATATATATATATATATATATATATATATATATATATATATATATATATATATATATGAGAGAGAGAGAGAGGGACAGTGTGTGTGTGTGCATGAGGTTTAGAAGACACACAACATACTGTAGATGACACGGGACGCACACTTGGGTGTAGGTGTAACCTGAAAGTCATGGTGTGTAGCGTGTGTGACGATCAGCTGTCCCGCGCCCCCTCACAGCTGCTGCGCGCGCACCCTTTGTCGAGCAGCTGCTACTAACACAATTATTGATGTTTCACGAGGCTGATGCTGGCGGATTCTGTAATTACCATTGTTAAACTACTTTTAAAAATTAGATGAAAAATTTTATTATACAATATTTGCATCTTATGTAGTTACTAAGAAGCATTATTTATCGCTGTTTTAGCAAAATGTTTGACTGTCGTTGGGGATATTTATATCCCACAATGCAGCTGCTAAGCTGTTCATTGTGTTTGGATGCCTGTGTTTTTATTTTTATATCTAGTTCTCAAAGTAGTTTCATATACTAAATAGTCATCTGGCTAGGTGTATTAGGTTATCTTCTTAGTTGCACTGAATTGTGTAAAAGCCCTGCAAAAGCTAATGCATAGCTTTTATATAAAAATGGCAGTACTAATTTAAATAGGGAATACTGTATTACCAGTATTTTCCAATGTTATATTTGCATAAAACATGAGAAAAATACTGGCAAAACCACATCAAGGTGAAGTAGAAGCGAACTATTACGGACAAACGTGTTCAACCTCCCCACAAAGTGCACGTGTAGTTTCGAAGTAATTCATATAACGTATAGATACACTATATTGTAAGAATGTTAAATGGTATACTATTACCACACACAATTTTGAATATTGCGATACGTAATTGGTTAAAATATTGGGTAACATCTGTTCCTGTAAATTATGTCTAGAAATGATCTCCCCCGGTCGGCTCCCACTGCAGGAACAGCTGTCTTGTTTCTTCCCCCACCACCTGTCCCCAAACATCCCAGGGGTAGCGCCTGTACCTCCACCCCCCCCCCCTGCATAAGCTCTTCCAAATGTGAATGAAACAATATGATGAAACTATTAATAAGTGTCACAATCTAGGATCTAAAAAAAAAAAAAAACGATTGAAGTGTTAACCAAAACTAATATTTTTTTAGTTAATTACTCACAAAAAGTAGCAGACTCGAACATACAATACCGCCAAATTATATTATATGACGTTCTGTTATAGTAGTCCCTTGTGCCATTACTGAGTTCGCCAATTATTAATGATATCGGGCGGAGACTTAATCGAACTCCGACTGCCCCATGATTGGGTGTTTCATCACTGATGAGCAGTGATGGCAGAGGCGTCATTGATGTCAGCGACGCTTTTTTACGGGGATTAGCCCACCCGGGCACAGGTCACTGACCCACATCGGGGCCTGGGAGCGAAAATGTAATAATAATAATAACAATAATAATAATAATATTCATTCATTGTAAATAAAATTTATAATAGAAAATACAAAATTTAAAAGAAAATAATGACAATAATAATAATAACTGTAATAATAATAATAATATTACTACTAATAAAGAACCATAAAGAAATACAAAAATGAAAAAAGATCAAAAGTGAGAAACAATAATTATGTATGTTGTGTGTAAATGAGGCAGAAAGGCAGATCAGCAACCTGGGACTTGGTCACATTTTTTGTGATGCCATATGGCAGCAGGGTCTACCATCAGACAACACATTATGCTTCCAATATCTTCCCAGGCGGTAGTACCTCCCTGTTTGGCAGCTGCCTACTACTTACTACCCTTGATTGGTTGAATTGATATAGACTCCCTTAATTGGTTGAGTAGTCATTGGCGCCCTTGGTTAGCTGCGTAGTCACAAATGCCCTTGATTGACTGAGCGATGTCAAAGAGCCAAAGATTACAGTAGTTCAATTACATCCTTGATTGCATGTCAATTGGTGTTGAATAACTGTGTTAGTGGCCCTGGGATTGCTGAGTGATGTCAGAGAAGGCCTCGATTGGATGTCATTTGTTGAGTGACGTCAATACATCTTTATCGAGTTAGCATACATGGACGTGTTATCAAATCTGACGAGGACTCGGCAAAACTACAGGAAGATCTAAACAAATTTTTCGAATGGTCTGAAAAATGGCAGATGAAATTCAACGTCGACAAATGTAAAGTACTCAGTATAGATGTAAACAGGGAAACCAGATATCAGATGAACAACGATGCCATAGAGAAATCCGACTGCGAGAGAGATTTAGGAGTAATGATAAGTAGGAACCTTAAGCCAAGTAAACAATGTGTTTTTGCTCGTAACAAGGCTAATAAAGTACTTGGATTCATACAAAGGAGTGTTAGTTACAAGACTAGCGAGGTCATCCTAAAACTGTATCTTGCTCTTGTGAGACCACACCTGGATTACGCAGTTCAGTTCTGGTCACCGTATTACAGAATGGATATAGAATCCTTGGAAAGAATTCAGAGGAGAATGACAAGACTAATCCCGGGCATTAGGAACCTTGAGTATAGAGACAGGTTAAAGCATCTTAATTTGCACTCCCTTGAGAGACGTAGAGCGAGGGGCGACCTGATAGAGGTGTATAAGTGGAAGGCAGGGCTAAACAAAGGACATTACAAAGGTACTCAAATTATCCAACCAGGAGCGAACTCGTAACAATGGTTTTAAATTAGACAAATTTAGATTTAGGCGTGAAATAGGTAAACACTGGTTTGGAAACAGAGTAGTGGATGAATGGAACACGTTACCAAATATCATCATTAACTCGAATACGCTGAATTGCTTCAAACATAGGTTGGATGCTCATATGAGCAATAGGGGTTGGGTGTAAACGGGACTGCCCAGTATGGGCCAATAGGCCCGCTGCAGTTTCCTCCATTCTTATGTTCTTATGTGCTGTATAAAGGCTTGAGAACCCCCTAACAAACCTTTGCATGGGAACACTAACGATACAAGGCGTCTCTTGACTGACGTAGCTGACATAATGACGTAAGTCGTGTTCCGAACTGTCGTTAACGTGACAGCATATCAACAGTGGACCCATAATCATAAGTAATTCAGGACAGCAACGTTGTAAATGTCATATCATTGGTCATGACAACGAAAATACCGAGACGGTGTAACTCATGGATCGGAAGGTATGCGTGGCGTCACGTCAGGCTTGCATAAAGAAGTAGAGTTCAAAGTTTCCAGATAAAAAGCGAAATGTGTATATGAAGTATCCTTCACTTACCTAATAAGGAAAAGGTGATATCAAAGGTTTCATACACGGCGTTTCATATTCAGTTTTCGAAAACGTATCCTAACTAAAGCCAGAGCTAACCCTCACCAACTAAGTACTCCTAGTTACTTTGTATAATGACTTACGACACCCACTTTTCAAAATGTGACGTCATTGGTGGCCCTTGATTAGCTGACTGAGAAGCCACAGTAAATAAATCAAAGCATATCTTGGACGTTACTCGGTAGCCTAATCGTAGCTTACCACTCCAGCATCTATTTTTTAGCAGTGAAATAAACAGTAGCGTGTCTTAGTTCCTCCCGATTTTACTAATGGTTGTTAATTAACAATAACAAGTGGGGGTTCATAGTAGTTTTGTATAATCTGCTTGGGGAAATGCAGAATTCGAAATTTCGTATTGGTAAAGAAACAATAATTTAAATTTTAATGTCTTCACAATAATTAACAAATCAATATTAATTAAGTATAACGTTAAATTTTTATCTGACTATAAAGTTGTCACAGATTGGCAGTCAGGGAAAGGAGTGAGATTATCAGACCGTGTTCATGTCAATCAGCTCTGAGGGTCTCCATAATAAATTTGAAGTCACCCAGGTACAGTACTGTATGTACAGTAGTTCAAAAGATAATGATCAGGATTATTTCTAGAAAGGACGGGCGTTCCCTGCTCCATTAGTGAAGTGACAATTAAAGAATGAATAAACATTTGTTGTAGGGGCATTATACAATTGAACTTTTTTTTAAACAGCAGCCTGTTTCATCAGCGGCGTTGTTATAATACTTAGTTAAATTTCGTAACAATTAGTAGTAGCAAACTAAACTAATGATGGGTGATTATAGTAACAATTATGCGGATTACTTTACTTTATAATCAACTTGTATAATTACGTTTGTACTGTTACTACTTTTATCTAATAAAATAATATTATTGCTTCTAATCAGGCTGGTAGTTGTTATGGTGGTAAGGGTTGACTGGGTGGGTGGGTGATGGGGAGGTTGGGTCGTGGGAGGTGGACGAGAAGGGCATGGATGACTGCGGTGGTTGGTAGTTAGTATGGAGTCGTTATACAGATAAATAAAACACTAAAACACACCTACACTGCACCATCTCCACAAAATATTTACAATAACATATAACACTTCACTTGGTTGTACACTTAATCCAGAACAAGGGCTGACTTGGAACACTTACACTGTACACTTAAAATTATTGACTAGAATGAGAAACGATGCTGACAGGATAGGTAAATCCCGTCTATCTGCTGGTCGTTACAACCGGCGGAGCGGTAACGTGCTATGCCCGCTAAATCCCGTGTCACGCGAAGTACTGCGTCCGTGTCCGTGACTGAACTCCAACTCCTGCCGTCTGCACGCCCATCTGTCCTTCCGCGGTTGACGGATACTTTCTTTCCAACTCCTGATTTTTATTTAGTACCGAGCTTGTTATTGCTGCCTTTTCAATGGAAATTTGCTTAACCCTGTTACATTTGGCATTCCAATGGTGTTGAGTTGTATATTTGTATGTATATATTGACTGTTCTGAAGTAAAGATACCAAGCGCAATGTTCTGTAAACATTTATGCCCTGCCGGCCCGTGCTCAGCTGCTCTTGATCTTACAGTTCCCACCGCTCATACACGAACGGCCGTTACGACTATGTAATGTTCAGTTTTTCTTCTATTTATTATTATACTCTCAAACCTAGTAGGTTAATTCAGAATTTATTTGATGATACATGCAGATAATGAATAACATTACCATTGCTTTAAGTTTAATTGAAGAAGATAATGTGAAAGTTATTATTTTGTAGACTGCAAGTGTGAAATGTAATGAAATATTATTTTAGCCAGTGAAAACTAGATGGATGGAGGGAAAAGGAGCCACGCGCGCCGTAACGTGCGTCGCAACCAGACACGCGCCACTTGGACTTCCTGACCCAATTTGAGGTTAAAATACTTAATTGCACAGCTTTCAGTGTCATTATTTACCTTGGCACCACATTAGCACGAAATAAGGATAATTTTAAGTTCACTTAATATTGTGATTATACAAGAATTAAATATTCTGGTGGAAAAAATCCAGTCTTTTGTCACCGGTGGTGCGTGCGGAAAATTGCCGGGCATACATTTTTATAATGGAATATCCAATTTATTTGTTTAATACCTGACTCCTGATGTTTAATTTATGCAAACACGGTTAAAATTTGAATACCTAATATTGTAGGGTAATTTGTGAATCGAGTGATCACACAAGAAATCAGAAAAAAAGGCAAATAGGCAACTCCCATGTTAACATCTGCTCCTGGGTGGGGTTGGGGGATAGAGTTTAGCTAAAAGGGAGAATTTTGTTTGTAGGTTAACAGTTTCATGACCTAACAGAACATATGATGCTTGCATACAGAGAATTATATCTTTCATAATTTGTAATTGTTGATAGACTAGTGTAATTATTAACCTTGTTACGCGCTTAAAGAATTTAGTTTTTGAAGTGCAGTAAAAACATTATAACGTCAACGATGCTCCCTTCAAATTAAACCTCGAACTGGACAAGAACTGGGGAAATCAAGATGAGCATGATCCTTAAATATTATATAAAGTATCACTAACTTGCTTGATGTAGTGCTGATTATATACAGTACTCAATATCATGGATGGAGACTTGGACAAAAGTCTAACACTTTCGCCCAGCCTAAATTATGCCAAAGCAAAATACACAATGGAAAATAGAATTAGGAAGATTAGACATCCAGGCATCGTTAGGGTGTTGCCCGTCAGGTGAAATAATCTAAGTTGGCTAATCTTCAGGTGATCTGAAACTGGATTAGGATGAAATCCGATCTACTGTACAGTATGTATTGTTATGCTGTAGTAAAACCAACTTTCTAATATAACATATTTTACTTGGTGAGTTAAGAGATATACTAACTGTGCAGTCGTCTCAAATAGTAGACCGTTTAAAAGGTAAAAATACAGATATGTCATACCATCTCAAAAATGTAACTAAATTAAAAGAAATGATAGTTTCATTGATATTTCTTTGGCTATATAACATTGCACTCCCCAACTCAGAAATAAAACAGTAAAAGTAACAATTTTGATAATCGGTTCCTAGCAATCAAACATGTCGATCCATTTCAGAAAATAATCCAAATTGCAGATGTAACAATTTCATTTACATTATTATTATTCAAGAATATATCAGCCTATAAAAGATTTGAAATCAAATTATAAATGAAGCATTTTCACAAATATTGACATGATTATTTGAAAGTGAGTCCAGTAAGCAACGGAGATAAATTACACAGTAACATTAAGCTTCTTTTTTTCGGCACACAATGTGGTCAGCACTGCATTCGACCTGCACTTCTTCCAACTGTAAAGTTAGGTACCCAATTACATCTGAGTGGGCTGATGTTATTGATGATTGCAACTTTCAAAAATTCCTTAAAGATCTTACTGATGTACGAAGTAAGATTGCTTTGTCGGTCGTACAGTGGTGTGACATTTGCTGCTATCATGCCACGAAGGACTTTTCTTATTACATGTATTTTCTGTACAATAGTGTATGATGTGCACATCCAATTTTTTTGCTTCTCGTTAATCATTTTAAATGTATTCTATCTGCCCCTGTAAATTTGAATTAATTGTTGTAAGTTGGCAATCTTCCTCTTGGCGATCTCATCCGTGGTTGGTAAATGTCATTAACCCCTTGAGTAAGATAATTTAACTCCTTGAGAACATTATCATACTCATGTAAATTTATAATCGTACTCAAAACATTAATTAATCGTACCCAAGGAATTAAACACAGAGATGACCTTTTCAAAGCAGATAAAAAGTAACACTTCACCTTTGACCAATATTTACATCTGTGGAGGGACGGATAATGATTGAAAGGTGAAAGCTAAATAGAAACGGCACTATTTGGGAATCTGAGGTACCGTAGTGCAAGCACCAGTCTGGTGGTCCTCCTTTGGACTTTTTCAATCAACTGACAGTTTATAATATATCTCGGAGACCAGACAGTACTCCAAACGGGGAAACACTTCACTCTTAAAGGGCTCTTTATAAGACCTACTCGCTTAGTTGCTTGATTCATCTCATTAATTTTCTCCACTAGGTGACCAAAAAGGTCAATCAATGTCTTGTCGATCAATACCCCCAATATTTTCTGACGCACGTTGTCCCAGTTTTCCATACGTTGCATATTGGCAAGAGGAATGTAAGCTGTACTTAGGATAGCTTACGTCCTCTTGCCAATATTAATGTACTGTACTTACATTTACTCGGATAACAATTAAATAACCATATCTCTGTCGATATATATATATTTTGTATTGGGTTTTCTTGCAATTTGATACAATCACCCTCGTCTACTATTTTCCTAAAAACTTTTTTATCTGCACAATTAAAGAAAAACCTATGATTTTTCACAAATTGTGGAAGATCATTTATAAAATAACAAATAAAACTGGTTCGAGGACAGATCCTTGAAGTATCCTTCTAATTACCTTGTTCCATTCAGATACCCATTATAAGACATAATTTCTTTCAATTTGTAGGAAATTATATAATCCCGTGACTGTGAGTAATTTGTATATAGCTTATTTATTAATTAAATATTGTTATTACTATCGCTATATATTTTATTTATTCCTTGATCCTCTTCGTCACATCAATTTCTGTATATGTGTCATTGTAGTGTGCTAGCATACATTTGCCTATGCATGTGTGTGTGTGTGTGTGTGTGTGTGAATTCTTGTATGTGGATGAGCGTGAATGCGTCTGTTAGCAAATTTCATTGGAATATTAGATGGCGTCTCAAATAATTTTCATTTTCTTCAATCAAGAAATTCTTATTCGTTTTATTTCAGTAATGGCATTGTGGTGTTAACGTGATGTAGGATCGCACTAGGATGGAGGTGAGAAGGGAAACTCACTATGGCGTTTTCTATATAAATATTGTTAACGCTCATAGGAGTGTTATTGGTTTGTTGTTGGAGAAATAAACCCTCAACGTTGACGCGTACCATATAATTCGGTCAAAACCTGTCAAAAAACAATTCTCATATAACAAATGCTGTTATCTCAGGACACATAGTGTGAATAATACATTCAATATACAGTACATAGCCTGTTAACATCTTAAATATAACTCACATGTTATAACTGTTGATACAGGAGACAATTTGTATAATATGATCAAATTACAGTACATAAATATACTTATTAAAATTATTTAGAGTTTCTTAGCAGATTCTAATACTTTACGATCACTCACGTTTTAGGGTCTAGTGGTCTGAACCAACGTGTTGTCTGTCCTGTAGAAATCGGTAGACTACCCTCGAGGGCAATCGCAGCCCGGAGGCTAGGGCCATCTGTTTCGCATTGAAACACCTCAGCAAATTCGTTGTCAACACTATATCTCTTATTTCACCCTCTCTCTCTCTCTCGCCTAGTTTATCTTATTGTGGTTATCCCTCTCTTCCTCTCTCTCTTCTAGTTTATCTTACTGTGGCGGTAACATATATTATAAACAATGCAGTGCTAGGGAGTTTGTTGAGAGGAGGTCTTGTCTGTTTGAGAGCACTGAGTAGAATCCTCTTCTTGACGTGACGTCTGTAGATAAGGTAGAAGGCTATTGCTTGTAATGCTGGGTGGGAAGGCCGGGATTAGGATTGGAAGATCTTTGGTGGCAATTTGGGTGAGGGGGGATTGGTTTAGGATCAAGGAAAAGAGGGAGGAAATTTGAAGGAAAGTAAGAGATTGATGGCGAGTCCGCCGGAAGTGAACGTTGCTGCTGGCCGACCACCGCTCAGTCAGACAGCTATGCTTCGCTGAGAAACTTGCCATGGGATCGGCTGGTCAGCGACAGTTGTAGGGGAGAGTATCCACTACAATACTCTCTCTCCCCTCCGAGCGCTGCAGGAAACTTGTTGTCGGCAGGGTTGTATTCCACATGTGAGACTTAACGGGCAGGGGTGTGAATCACTCATCCGCTACAGGTGACGACTCCGTCTAGTGACGACGACTCAGTCTAGTGACATGAGATCTGTGGGAGAAGCAGAGGGAGAAGGAGGATTGTGGATAAGAGAAGGTTGAACAGGCGAGGAATGTGGTGCTTCTCTCGTGGCAGGTGCAAAGCCTTCAGGGGCGCCGGGTGGGGTGTCTGCGTCCATAGGTCCAGATGCAGGACTCTATCAGGAGCAGGGTCTGAATCAGGATCAGTAGGTACCTGAGGATGAAAAGAGGGTACCCAGAAATGTGGTGGGCTAGGTGGTGCTGCAAGAGGCAATTGTGGGCAGACTGGCGAAGGAGGTGCGGGATGAATGTGTTCAGGGCGATTGGAAGACTGGCGTGGGGCAGTAGCCTTGAAT